TCTATCCACCAAATCCTACACTGCCTTCTTATTTGGAAATTCTTGATGTAAATATAGACCGAAACCGTCCTCCCATGCCTCCATAAACTGAGTAGCTTCTACACCAGGTCGTAACTCACCATATTCATTGCGCATATCCACAGATTCATCACCATCTCTAGACTCATCATTCTTCTTTATCGCCTCATGTTAGTGTTATGCTTGTTGGTTGTACACAATCATGGCATTATCTTCAACTTCATCATCCTTCGAATGCAACTCCTCATAACTCACACCAGTGAAACTTTTTTCCCTCACTTTCGAAAGCTTATCTGGCAGTCCATCTAAGATAGTGATGACCTCCATATGCAGAAGACATCTACGATTCCCATTGTCAATGGAGGCCAGATAAACACGAAGATCCCCATCATCAGAAATAATCAACTCTTCCTCATGTCCCACCAGCATTGGAGTGTAACTCAATTTCAACTTCACCATACTTTCATCTAAATTAACCTTTTTGCATATTCTAGCTTCTATCAACGCCAAATTTACCTCCGTCATTGGTGTCTTCAAGAATATACTGTATTGCCGACCTTTGCATTTAATATGTATGATGTTGTTGTTGCTCATTGTATCCTGCCAAAATAATACAAAAACTTTATTAATCATTGATAGTAATACTAGTTATCCATAGTTATACAACAAGTAATACCCAGTTGTACTAATTTATACTTTACTGATCATTGATAGTAGTGAATAGTTATCCATAGTTATACAGTAAGTAATACCCAATTGTACCAAGTTATACTTTATTAATCAGTGCTAGTAGTGACTAGTTATCCATAGTTATACAATAAGTAATACCGAGTTGTACCAAGTTATACTTTTTTAATCAGTGATAGTAGTGACTAGTTATCCATAGTTATACAATAAGTATACCCAGTTGTACCAAGTTTTACTTTTTTAACCAGTGATAGTAATGACTAGTTATCCACAGTTATACAATCAGTAATAACCAGTTCTACCAAGTTATACTTTATTAATCAGTGATACTAGTAACTAGTTTGCAACAGTTATACCGTCAATAATATCCAGTTGTACCATCTATATTGTAATTCTAGTTCTACCCAGTTGTTTTTTGCAGGAACTCAAATTGAATGATTTTTTGTTCAATTCATTTTAATCAACAATTGAATACGATTCAACTGAATCCAACCAACACAGACTATTTATTGCCAATCTATAATCCTAATCAACCTATAAATCATAGTAAAACACATTATATCCAAAGCATTTAAGCATTTGATTTTCAATTCTTTAAAAATTTAGTTGACCTCAATTTACAAACTCATTCACTACAGTTTATGACTTCCGACGGCGTCGATGGAGGGCTCTATGACGGCGGCGACGGACGAACGAGCTCGGAAAAATGAGATCCGCGAGCTTCAGTCGTCGGCAACAATGGCGGAGGGGGGAGAGGAGAGTGGCTCGAGGAGGAGGAGGAGAGTGAAGAGAGAGAGTGGGAGATTTAAAATTAAATAAATCAATTCTAATTAAATTCAGTAAGTGTAAAATTAGTAGTTCAGTTATAAAAAGGATATGTAGATTATTGAGGGATATAGGAGATTATATTTTGAGAGAGTGTGGCAAATCAGATCATGTCTCAGTCCAGTGAGGATGGTGAAGCAAAAAGAAAAAAGCAATTTGAAATAAATGGTGGGCAAATTTAAGAGAGGGCAATAAAGTAAAGACGTTATCAATAGAAATTTTGACCGTATGTGTTAAATTAGGTCCATAATATTGTAAATTTAGTGTAATAATAACATTCAGATTTTAATTTCTCTTCAAAGTTTATGATATACACTGTAGTTATATTATTTTTTTACTATAACCATTAAAATCTAAAGTCATAAATATATTCCAATATTTTAATAAGATAAATCCCAATATAAAATTTTGGTAGAAAATCTTACTTTTTTTTACTTTTTTCAATGTTTTGAAACCCGATCCGGACCGGCCGGTTCACCCGGTTAAACAGGGATCTGATCACTCATTCGGGTCGGTTCTACTCTTAAAATCCAAAATTTATTAATCCAGTAAAATCTAAAAAAACCTGCAAGTAATCTGTGACTCAGTAATCCATTAACCCGATTAAATTGACAATTTTATATGTTTTTTTATAAAAAAGCTTTTTCAAATAAAAATATCTCTAATTAAATTATAGATTATAGGGTTTTGTTAGTTTGTAATTTTAGTCGAGTTTTAAGGTTTGTAATTTGTATCAATATTTAATATATTTTTTCAGCTGTTTGAGTTATGTTTTGAACAATTTATGTTCTTTTTTTATATTTAATCATTTGAATAGTTTATGTTATGTTTTATATTTAAATCTATTTTCATATATTTAAAACTATAATATATATATATATTAATATATATATTGCATTTTCTTAATTAGTTAATCCGTGGTTGACCCGAATCAATCCGGATAAACCAAGAAACTCAGTGACCCGATAAACATTCCGGTTTGCTTTCCGGGTCGGATTTCATAACACTGCTTTTTTTTTGGGGGGGGGGGTTCTAAATCATACTTTTTTTACTTGAATCTACTTTATACTACAGCTTTCTTTAATTCTTAACTAGGTTACTATCAAGAGTAATATTTCTAAAAAAAAATAATTGTCAAATAATATGATTAAGAATATTAATAAAATTAGTTTTAAATTATTTTTTATTTAATTTATATATAAATATATCAATTTTATATTGATGTTATATCATTTATTTGTATGGATTTTATGCATATCGTTTTTGATCATCTTAACTTTCATAAACAAATTTATATTTTATTTTTAATCATAAGAAAACAGAGATTATGTAATGAATGGATATTTCAGATAAAAAATAGATCTCGAGATCTGGAAACACACATTGTTTGGGAGTAAATTTTGGGATGCTACATGGAGGTGTGTAATTCATCGAGGTAATGGAGCTGTGTCTCCGAGTTTCGTCCTCTGGAGGAAAGGCGGTGAATCGTTCCAGGATGGAAGCCTTCGGTGCCGGGGAGGCGGTTCGGCCGTCTCGTCTAGCCCTGCAAACACTCGAAGAAAGGTCAGATGAGCCTCCAGGAGGACCGAAATAGGGTTTCCCTTCCGAAGGTTCCTCGACGCCCAAGTCAATGAGCGTCCTATCGAGAACAAGTACTTCGAGAAGGGGGATTTCTACGGGTTCATAGTGAGAAGTCTCGTCTGGGGATCGAGGCTTCTATCTAGTTTCGGGTGTTTCAAAGTGATTTCTATAGGGTAAAGTGAGTTGAAGCGAGTATGAAGGCGGGGTTCCGAGTTAGAGATGGCTTAACATGATCGACATTCACCCGGGAAGAACATGAAGTTCACCCGTGATCGCGCTGCTTGCCCGGACCGACTGATTCAGACACTAGTAGATACCTCCTCCTATAGAGGGGTTTTTCCCCATCTGATCCGCCGATCCCTTTATGCATGGTGATCTCTCCTTATTTACACTCACGGGCTCCTCGTCATGTAGTAGGTAAACTTAAAAGAGACAGGGAGTCAACTTTGGGCTTTGTTAATTTACTGCGCGATGATTATGTTGAAAAAGATTGAAGCCGCGTCTCTTCCATTCGGTGCGCCAGGGAAGCAGGTGAAAGTAATGATTTTAGCGTGTTTGAGGAAGTCTGCCAATTGCCCCGGAACAATACGCAGAAGTGGATCGGCCGAACTAGCATGACGTGTGTCAGCGTCTAACACAGTCTAAATCCACGTGTCAGATCCTCTTTTAATCCGTAAAATGGATCCCAACACAAACATATACAAAGAATCGCCATCTCATTATCAAAAATATAAATTTCAGAGGATAAAGATTACTTCCTCAGTTAATCAACTGCAAGTTTTTCAAATATTGACAAAAATAAAAAATCTTTGAATTTCTAAAAAGCAAAAAAAAAAATATGATTTTTTTCTATACGACATAGGGTTTTATCTTTTTTTTGTCTCATCTTTGCAAGCTTCATGTTGAAGCTGGACTTTTTGTCCAAAATTATACATACAATAATATACTAAAAGATATAAAAAAAGGACATATATCAGATTCGTAAAAAATATTTATTTTTTTAACCAAGTAAATAATTTCTATAATTAATATATGATTAAATAATTTACATAATTTAAATATGATTAAAAGTTTCTTTAATTTAAATATGTTCAATAATTTCTTTAATTTAAATGTGTTAAGAGATTAACTTAATTTTAATGTGTTTAAAACATTTTCGTAACACAGAAATGTTTCTAAACTAAAAATATTTTAAATTTTTTGTCATTAATTTAATTAGTTAAAATATTATAAAATAGAGTTTTACATTTAATAGAAAAAATATTATAGAATGCACATATTTTTATTTAGGCATTCGGATCAGATTTATTTTGTATAATAATTATTAACAAATTCATCTCTAAAAATAATTTAATACTTTTTTTTTTGGTCAACGCACTATATATTAAAGTAGAAAAGGAGTTTTACGCTCCATTAGAGGAGGATACAGCTAGTGAAGTCAAAACAGCCTTTGCAAAAGAATCCGCTGTGGAATTCTCTTTTGTGGTAATTGCTTTGAAGGAAATACAAGAAAATATAGATAGAGACTCCTGAATATCTGCGAGAATCCCTGCAATATCAGGCGGAAATTCTCCAGATTTGATCAGTGAGATGAGGACTTTTGAGTCCGAATTCACTTGGATTTTCTGTAATCCAAAGTGTGTGAAAGCCGTAAGTGCTTCTCGGATGGAGAGAGCTTCTGCTGCTAGGGCGGACGGTAAGAATTACCGCGACGAGGATCCTCGACTGATCGTGATTCCTTGATCGTTCTTCAGTAACCATCCCATACCTGCGTCTAGTGTTTGGGCCTGCCACGCTCCATCCGTAAAACACATGTATGTTTCTGGGCTTGGGGTGGGATTAGGTTGGGCTTTTTCTAGGCCCACTGGTTGTGCTTGTTGGGCTTGCTGCTAGTCTTTAGCCTGTTGATCGCAGTCGAGATTGTGTTTGCCGGAGATTGTGCAAGGTTCTCGAAGAGTAAACGATTCCTGGCGATCCAGATGCTCCAGAGCAACCATGGGTAGAGCAGTGCCGAAGTTAGTCCCACTGGTGGGAGTGTTGTCGATCGCGTTGATTGTTGGAGAATCTGTTTCGCAGAGGGGTTTGGCGCGGTTGCATTTGGGAGATGTGAGATCAGCGTCATTGATCATACTCTTTGTGCAAAGGGGCAGAGCCAGAGTATATAGACTGTGGATTCAGGATTATTGCAGCGTTTGCAGAGCAGTGAGTCTGCAAGTCCTCTACTAGCCAGCGCCTCTCCAACTGGTAGAGCTCCTCTCATGGCTTTCCACAGAAAGGATTTTAATTTGGGGGAAATTTTCAGTTGCCAGATGTTAGCTTTCCAGTTGAAGTTGTCGACTCGCTGATCCTCCGGTTTCATCCTCAAGAGATTGTACCCTGTTTTCACCGTGTAGTCGCCTGATTTATCTGAAAGCCAGACTAGTTTGTCCTTCGGCTTTGATCTTCCGGTGATGAGTTGTCGAATTTGGCCCTCATACTGAGGTAAGTACCTTCTGATTGCTTCCAAGTCCCATTCGTTTGACGTTTGACATAATAGATCCTTGACTTTGAGCGATGCTGCAGAACTTGTACGGGGTCCGTATGGAACCGTTGGAGTTGTCATAGAGAGCCACGGTTGACGCCAGATACTGATTTCTGAGCCTGTTCTCGTCGCCCAACTGGCTCCAAGCTTAATGACTTCACGCCCTGTTAAGATTCCTCTCCACCCGTGCGAAGGGTTTGAACGTATTAAGCACTCCATGAAGGAGGAAGTGTGGCAGCATTTTCCTAGCAAGACCTTACTAAGAAGGGAATTCGGGTGGTGGATGAGTCGCCAGCTTAGTTTAGCTAGCAGAGCCTCATTATACATCTCGATATCCTTGAAGCCTAATCCTCCAAGTTTCTTTGGTAATGTAAGTTTATCCCAAGCAACCCAACAGATCTTTTTTTGATCCGGTTTTGTATCCCAAAAGAAACGTGTGAGAACTGACTGTATTCGCTTACATAGTGATATTGGAAGTTTGAATCAGAGCATCGAGTGGGTAGGCATAGCCGTGAGTACTGATTGAAGGAGGACTTGTTTGTCGGCAGGAGACAGGAAGTTTGATGTCCAGCTATGTGATTTCTGCTGAATTTTGTCCACCAGTCCCGTGAATATATTCCTTTTCCTTCTACCGAAAAGTTCTGGTAGTCCCAGGTATTTCCCTAAGCCTCCTTCGTTTTGGATGTTTACCGTCTTTTTGATTCTCTCTTTGGCTTCTAAAAGGGTCTTTGCAGAGAAGGTGATGGCTGACTTTGCTAGGTTAATGCTTTGACCTGATGCTTGTTCGTATTGCCTTAGGATTTCTCGAAGAGCTTTGCAGTTTGTCTCGTTTGATTTGCTGAAGAACATGGTGTAGTCTGCGAAAAGGAGGTGATTCACTGAGGGACTATTGCGTGCCACTTTTACTCCTGTAAAGTCTCCCGACACTTGAGCTTTTTTGCATAAACCTGAGAGAACTTCGGTACATATGATGAAGAGAAATGGCGACAGTGGATCCCCTTGGCATATCCCTCGAGTTGGTTTTACTGATCCCATTGGACTCCCATTGGTCAGGCATGAATCGGTAACCGTTGTTACACAGTGCATAATCCAGTTAATCCATTTCTGTTGAAACCCCATCCTCTCTAGTACGGCTTGTAGAAATCCTCATTTGAGCCTGTCGTATGCTTTGCTCATGTCAGTTTTTACTGCCATGGAATAATGAATTCTGGCTTCTGATGTTCTTAGAAAGTGTAGTATTTCATGCGTGATGAGCACATTATCGGATATGGCTCTTCCTTTGACGAACGCTGATTGGTGTTCTGAGATGATGCCACTTAAGATTGGCTGGACCCTCTTGGCGAGTATATTTGCCACTATTTTGTAATATACATTACATAAAGCAATAGGCCTGTAGTCTGAAGCTTTCTTTGGTGCAGTAATTTTTGGGAGCAGACAACTGTTGGTGTCGGTTGCTCGAACAGGTGATCTTTCCAACTCAAAGAAATTCTTTATTTCATGGCTTATGTCCGCCCCTATGATATCCCAAAAACTTTGATAAAAGCTTGCTGAGAAACCGTCAGGCCCCGGTGCCTTATCACCATTAATGTCGAATACTGCCTCTCGTATCTCCTCTGAGGATGGAATAGAGCAAAGAATCTCATTCATCTCTGTTGTGATGCAGGGTTGTACCACATCTGCGACCACGGAGAAGTTTGTTTGGTCTGATGCCATGAAGAGGAGTTGGAAGTAGACCTCAAATACTTTTGCTATGTTTCCTTCCTCCTTGTGTGTTAATCCTTGGTCATCTTCAATCACTGTAAGACGGTTTCTTGATCTTCTTCCTCTCGTAACAGCATGGAAGTAGCTCGAGTTATGATCTCCCCCTCTTAACCATAAAACTTTGCTTCTTTGTTTCCAGAACAGCTCTTCCTCTTTGTAGGCCTTTTCCAATGAAGCAGAGAGGTCCGTGATGATTTCTGTGTTGGGGGTATCCGCTGAGAGAGCTGCCTCCAATCCCTCTTGAAGGTCTTTGATCTGTTTGGCAGCATTGGCATTTTGTTCCTTTGTCCACCGGATGATTACTCTGCAACAGTTGTTGGTTTTGATGACTACATCTGCCGCTTCATCAGACTCCCACGTAGATGAGATAAGTTGCCGAAAACTTTCCTTATCTTTAAGGGTTCTATTATATCTGAAAATCCCTCTTATTCTTTGCCTTTTCTTGTCCAGGAAGGTGATTAGAGGCATGTGATCCGAACCCTGAAAGCGGAGGTACTCACTGCTTCCAGCGGGAAACATTTCTACCCAAGCCGCATTTGCCATTGCCCTGTCCAACCTTGAGCAGATTAAGTGGCTGTACCTTGTACCTCGCCAGGAGAGGGGATTTCCAGTATATTTTAAGTCTCATAGACCATTTTGGGGGACGAAGCTGCGGAACTTCAAGAAGGAGCCCTCACATCTTGGGGGTCTTCCTCTTTTTTTCTGAGTTCTCTGGAATCTATTGAAGTCCCCGGTTAAGAGCCATGCTTCATCTCGGTTAAGACCCAAGAGCGAGATGTGATTCCAGAATGCACAGCGGAGCTCTTTCTGGGGTGTACCGTAGATGAAGGTTATATGGGATGAGGAGTTTTCGGAGACTAATTTTGTGTCAATGTAGTTTGGCGAGGAGACCAGCACTTCCAGGTTCACTTCTGGCTTCCATAAGAGTGTCAAGCCTCCACTAGCTCCTTGAGAAGGGTAGAAGAAGTGATTCGAGGAGCCCATTCCTTGGATTTTTTCCAGTATGAAAGATTCAGGTTGCTTTGTCTCCATGAGGAACATGATGTTCGGGTTTTGGTGCTTGTGAAATTCCCGGATTCTATGAACTGTCAAGGGGTTCCCCAGCCCTTGGCAGTTCCAGCTCGCAATGACTAAGGGAGCAGAACTCGACGGGATCAAAAATCCCCTCTGTCTGCTGAGGCTTGGTGGTTTGCCGAGTTGTTCTGTGAGTTGTGGTTCTCTTGGGGTGCAATGGTGCTTGAGATCTCCCTGAGTTCTGAATGGTTTGAGTGGTTTGACTCGTGCTCGCGTAGTGATACCCCTGATCGGAAGCGTTTCTTTGGTGGATTTGGCCCTCTGGTAGTTACTCTCTTCTTTGTTTTTGTTACTTTGGGTGAATTGCTGGAACCCCGTTTCTTTAGAGTCGGTTTAACTTTCCGTTTTCCTGCAGCTCTTGATGTTATTGCTAGAGTGGGCTTTCTCGGGTTCTTGTGCTTTTGTTTTTGTGCCTCTGGAGGAGAAGGGCCAAGCCTGAGTGATACTGATGTTCGAGTCTCCATACCCAGAGTAGAGTGGTGTTCTTCCTGGAATGGAACTTGAGTATTACCTCCTTCGTACATTATCTCCACCTCTTGTAGATGCTTTGAGGCATTGTTAGAATTGGTGTTTATGACTGGCGGAGCTATTCTGTCTAGGGCAGTGCCCCGAGATCTTGAGTGGCTGGAGATTTCTCCTCTCTCCTATGTTCTGGTTTCATACATTGTCTTCGTGGCAGGATTTGGGGGCGGTGTATGGGAGCTTTGGATACGGTGAGAGTTTTTCCTATTGACTTGTGCCTCACTTTCTAGGGGACTTGGTGATAATGTTTTGTTTGACCGTTGAGATGATTGGCGCCCTTCGTATCCTTGGGCGTTTGGGGAAGCAATTCTGCGGGAGCTTTCTCTTGGTTCCTGTCTTTTTTCCCATATGGGTGGTGAGCGGTAACGGTCAGGGGAAGTGCAGGATGGATACCGAGGGACAATACTCCTATCAGGATTCTGTTCAGATTTGGGTTAACGGTCAGGGGAAGTGCAGGATGGATACCGAGGGACAATACTCCTATCAGGATTCTGTTCAGATTTGGGGTAAGGTGTTAAGCTGTGGTTAGCCCCAACTTCACAGAACTGTCTTGGGATTCTGTCTCTTGGTCAATCTTGCGCTCTTTTGTTGTGAATGTTAAGGTAAACCGGCCTTTGCTCTCTATTTGCCCTCAACACTTCTTTTCTCTTCTTGTCGGTTTCAATATTGATGAGAATTTTTTGTTGGTTTATCCCCATGTTTTCCAAATCTTTTTGTGGAGCTCTCGAGAGGCAATCCCTTAGCTCGTGTTGGAGAGAGCAGCAGGAGAAGCAGTGCTTTTCCAGTTTTTCGTATTCCAGATCCACATTGATGACTTGTCCTATTGGGAGCCTGATTGGAAGGGATGTTTCCAGTGGTTGCAGGCCATTCACGGGTACCCTGATCTTTCCTTCTTCTACATTCTTGTCTACTACATGACCCAACTCCTTCCCTATAGTCCTTAGCGTTTGGTCTGACCAGTAGTGAAGTGGTATCCCGTGGACTTTGATCCAGAAAGTGATGGTGGCAGGAAACAGATCTGAGACAATGGGTTCCCATCTCTGGAGGATTAACATCCATTTCTTGTAGTGGTATGGGTCTTTTTTGAATACTTGTACCAGATCTTCCTCGGTAGAGAACCGGAAGAAGAATCTCTTTCGTCCTAAGTCTCTGCCTGTCACTGTGTTTTCTAGGTTCCAGTACTAGATGAGGTAGTCTACAACTGCTCGCAGCCTTTGAATGGTTGTGTTTGTAACCCGACCGATGAGGGTAAGTCTGTTTTCCTCGATGCGAGCAGAGACGTCACTTTTGGAGATGCGGACAGGGGACCGTCTTATGGATTTATTTGTGCATGTGATCCATTTCTCCTTCTCTGAACTTGTGTATCTTCTTGCCATGGTATTGCGTGATGGAAGTGTTGTCTTTGTTGTAGCAGGGTGAGAGTTGATGGAAATCTGTACTACAACAGTAAAGTGGTGAAGATTCTTCTACTTTTGTTGCCGGGGGGTATTCGAGAAAGTGTGACGGAAGTGATTCAATGCGAATTGCCGGAGTTGTTTTACGGTGGTCGAAAGATCTGAATCGGGCTGGTTTAAGGGAGAAAGCCAAATTCTAATTCGTGATACGCTCAAAGTAGCCAGAGTCAGCGCATGGGAGACTGTTGGAGACTAGGAAACATACTCAGACTTTCCATTTTGGGATAAAAAGTATTGGGAATAGTTCCTCAAACCTCTCAAACAGTAACCACTGTCAACGCATGGGGACTTGGGCCTGGGAGCGAACTTCTCTCACCTCTCTCTAATTTGAATTTTGGCACAACTTAATCTAATAATTATTTATATTTAAAAGTTAGCAAGTAAGGTAATGACACATTAATTTGTAATGGTTCCTATTTAATATATAGTAGATATTGTGGCAGTTTTTTTTTTGTATTTATTACTTGGTTTGTTTGTGTATAATTTTTTGTAAACTCTTGGGTGCACTTTCAATTTGCATACGAGAGACAGTCTGTGTATTCTCTCTAACAAAAACAAGTTTGAGATAAGGAGAGCGAAACAATGAGCACATCGTTCGTTCCCGCGTGGTATCTCCAGGTAATTAAAGGGTATATATGTAATTTTCCGGTTAACAGATTGGCGCACGAAGAAAAGTTCCACCACGGCTTTGAATAATAATAACCCATTTTTTTCTTTCTTTCTAAACTCTATTAAATTATTTTATTTTCCTCTGTTTATCGCTTTCCCTCTCCTTCGACTTTCTCTCCAGGTGTGTTTCATTCGATTGGTTCCTCTGATAATTCAATCAAATGAATAGCATTTTCTAAATCTCGATTTATCCTGGATTCACAAATTCGAAATCGTTTGCGTCCTTATCGCAGAAACAACATTTTAGAAGTGAAGACTCTCGTAATTCTGATTTCTCCATCAAATTTTTGACTTCTCTGTGAATAAATACAAATTCGAAGAGAAAGATTGTTTGGTAAATCCCAATACAATCTGGTTTTCAATCGCTTCTTACTTTGTTTTGTAATATTTGTTCAAATGTTCTATTCGGAATCTTTGTCTGCATATTAAATTTAGAAAATTTAGAATCTGCGCCAAATGATGATGATGATTGATTGTCTGATTTCAATTCAGAAATTCTTCCAAATATGCGTCATGTTGATGATGATGTTGATTGATTGTGTGATTTTGAATTTTAGAAATTTGAAGGAGGAAATCGTTTGAGATGGCAAACCAAGGAGGTTCGTCCAGGAAAAGCCTCTCCTTCTCTGGTCATTCATTTCAAGGGAGGAAGAAAGCTTCCGATAAAAACGAAGGTGGAGGAGGAGGAGTAGGCTCTGAGCTCCCACGGAGATCTCTCACATCTTCTCGTTCTTCAATGTAAATCACTCCTAAGCCACTTCTTATTTTATTCCTCTTTTGAATCATTAGTGATCTTGATGGTAATGACCTTGGTGATAGTGATGAACAAGTTTTGGTGATTGTTTACCACTATACATAATTGCCTTTGAACGCTATACTCAATGGAATTCAAAAAGTTCGATCTCTGAAAACATAATTCCTTTTTTTTTGTTAAAGGAGAATTAGTTCCTTTATATTCTTCGACTGATTAGAAATTAACTATTTTATTTTCAGTTTTAATTAGTCTTCAAATATATTACAAATAACAATATTTCAATAGAAAATTGCAAGCTAATCCCAAAAAATAATACTTTTGAATGTTGTTGTAGAAGCTTGAGTGGAGAAAGGAGTGGAGAGAGGACTGTAAAGCGATTAAGGTTGTGTAAAGCCCTTACCGTACCTGATAGCACAACTTTATTTGAAGCTTGCCGAAGAATGGCTGCACGTCGTGTTGATGCGTTATTGCTGACTGATTCTAATGCATTACTCTGTGGGATCCTTACAGACAGGGTTAAAAAACTTTTTTGATCAGTTTTCTACTGCAAACTGTTTCGGCAAATTTACTTATAGATCTATTCGTCTCTTTTGGTTAAAGGACATAGCAACAAAAGTGATTGCTAAAAAGCTCAACCTTGAAGAAACACCTGTATCTAAAGTTATGACCAAGAACCCTGTCTTTGTTTTGTCTGACACTATTGCTGTGGAAGCTCTTCAAAAGATGGTGCAAGGTTTGTAATGTTTGTAGAGAAACACTTTTCCTTGCTCTTTCATATAGTTTCTTGAAATTTGAAAATGTCAAGTGGATCTGCAGGCAAGTTTAGACATTTGCCTGTGGTAGAGAACGGAGAAGTTATCGCGCTCCTCGATATAGCAAAGTGTTTGTATGATGCGATTGCGCGAATGGAAAGATCGGTCGAGAAGGGTAAGGCCATCGCCGCGGCTGTTGAAGGCGTCGAAAAGAATTGGGGGACATCCATTGCTGGTATGTTAAAAAGTTATGGGATTAAAGCATTTTCATTTTGATTGTATTTAAACAAAAATGAATGTCTCTGATGGTGTGTCTTGTTGAATACAGGACCAAACACTTTCATGGAGACACTTAGAGAACGAATATTTAAGCCTTTGCTTTCAACAATAATTCCCGAGAATACAAAGTAGGTAATATTTAAAATCACTATGGTCTTGTATTTGTTTGTTAAGAGTATTGTGAAGCTTAAGTAGTGTATTTGGAATGAAAACGTACAGAGTTTTGAAGGTTGGATTGGAAGAGACGGTGTTAGGAGTAACGATGAAGATGGTGGAATATCAGTCTAGCTCAGCCATGGTGATGGTTGAGAACAAATTAGCAGGGATTCTCACGTACGTAAGCCTCATATTTTATCTTCTATTTCCCGTTACCGATAGTAGGCCTGTACATTTCGGGACGGGAAATGAATTTTCTGTCCCTGATCTTGTTCAAGTAGTTATCCATTTGAAACTGTTTATTTTATTGGGTCATTTATTAAAATAGTTTATTTGACAAATTTGATGTGAAAATGAAATTTCTTTTTTAAAAAAATTGTAAGAAGTGTCCACTAACTTGATTTCATTTTGGGGTTAGTATGCGATTTTACTTTTAATCTGCTATTAGTCTTGAGTTGTATGATAAATTAGTTTGTCATTTGTTTACATTTAATCTACAATAGAAAAATAATTACAAAAGTAACGCTGGTAAATATTTCTTGGTAAATCTTTACAATTTTCCCTTAAAATCTCCATCCCATTTTTTTCTATCGAGAACACTTTGGATAACGTTTTTTAATACTTGAATTACCCGTTCATGTCTCTATTGCGATCCTGAAATAAATAGGCCTAATTATGAGATTGCTCTGTTACTCTTGTTCAAACTTTTCTAGTGAAGCTTTGATTTTAATTTGTAATATTTTTGTTAGTTCAAAGGACATCTTAATGCGAGTGATAGCCCAAAATCTTCCTCCAGAGACGACCACTGTGGAGAAGGTAACTTTTTTTGCCATATAGCTAATCTGCTTATGCTTCTTCAGTTTCGGATTACATTAGAATCCTTTGAACTGTGAATTCCAAGTCTTGCTTATAGTTTTTATCAATGCTCTTTTCTTGTCGTTATTGTTTTCTTTACAATTATTCTATAGGTCATGACACAAAACCCAGAATCTGCAACAGTTGATACGGCAATTGTTGACGCCTTGCATATCATGCATAATGGAAAATTTCTTCACCTTCCTGTATTAGATAAAGGTAACCAAAACTGACTCTAAGCAATTTAAGTATGATGATGCATTGCTAATTCAGTACACCTGTCTAATGTTCACCAACAGATGGAGATGTTGTCGCTGTTATTGATGTAATCAGCATAACTCATGCCGCTGTTACTACGGTACACTTTCTTATTTTCACCCTTTTAACTAAAGTTGGTACAATGCACCATTAATATGAGATAAGAATGGAAAACAAAATATCAGAGCAGAAAGAAAATTTAAGAAGTTTTAAGTGATGAATAGTATACTATTCATAAGGTTTTTCATATTTTGAAAACGTAATTCTGTTATTTTTATAACATTTACACTATTTATTAATTTTTTTACGTTTTTATGTTTTTGAAAAATAATTCCACTATATACAAGTAGTATGTTCAAAATATAATTACAAAAATAAAACGTAATTAATATACTGAAATTAGCTTTTCAGTGTTATTATAATTATTAAATAAAAAATCATTTTCTTTACTTTGTCCCGTTAATAATTTTTTAGTTATTCTATTATTTCTCTATTGATCATATGACATATCAGTATGAGTCGTTTTTGGTATCCTTTCGGTCAGGCTGGAAGTACGGCTGGAATAAATAATGAGACAGCAAACTCAATGATGCAAAAGTTTTGGGATTCGGCTATGGCTTTGTCTCCTAACGAAGATGGAGAAGAAACAACGAGGAGGTTCTTACTCATTTTCACACTAAACCATTTGAGTTTTGTCTAGGTTTCTCAGATTTGTTTGCTGTTGGATGATCATTAGTTTTTTTTTTTTCAGTGAAGAAGAATCATTGAAGTTGTCTTCGGAGATAGAAGGGACAAAATCATTCTCATATCCCAACACATTTAATTTCAAACTTCAAGATAAAAAAGGACGGATGCATAGATTCATGTGTGGTACGTTTAATCATATATAAGTAATTAACTCTTCTTGGATATAAAACACTATTTATAACTCTTTTTTTACTTACTGGTTACAGAAACACAGAGCTTAGCAACTCTCATAACTGCAATACTACAGCGGATGGGGGATGACATTGAGCCTGATAACTTGCCTCAGATAATGGTTAGTATTTGTTCGAAAAGCTTTGGAAATGAAACCTCCTTAATCTTGACATATTTTGTGCTATGTATGTAGTACGAAGATGAAGACAATGACAAAGTCATTTTGGCGTCAGATGGTGATCTTGGAGCTGCCGTAGATCACGCGAAATCAATAGGCTGGAAGGTACAACCATTCTAACCTTAGTTAAGAGGTTTAAGTTGGTGTCTTGATCCTTGATCGGGTTTTTGGGTTTGCATCGTCTAGTTTTGAGTTGAAGGAGATATATAAGTTGGTCTGGGCATTCGGGTCTTCCGATTGGCTTGGGTCAGCTCTTTTGGATATTGGGTAGAAGGAACCGAACAAACGGTTTTGATAGGTCTCACAGTGCGAATCAGTTCCGGGTACCCAATAAATATTACTAATAACTGTGAGTTTATGTTATAATTTTGGGTAGTTAGTTACTTCATGTTTGCTGTAAAAAAAGGTTATTCAATATTTAAATATATATAATATTTTTTGTATATATTCATATTTTAAAATTTTAAGATATTTATATAGTTTTTGATTCAGTTTCAATATGATTTCAATACCCAAAATATTTTGAACAACATTATGATATTTATGATTATCCAATTCGGTTCGGTTTGGTTTCATTGGTTCCAAACAATTTGCCCATGCCTAATTCAAACATTGGTGCAGGGCTTAAAATTACATTTGGACTACATAGAAGAGAGAGGGCACATGAGTGGTTTAAAATCAGAGAATATGGACTCTGAGCAATCAAACTCATGGGCAGCTGCTTACAGAACAGTTGCGGCCGGGGCTGCTATTGCCGCTGGATTTGGAGTTTTGGTGTACCTTAAACGCCACTCAAACTAACTAATTTATTTTATTGGAGATACACAAGGAGAATTGCCTTTTAAAGCCTAAGCTTGGGAAATAGTATAACTCTTCAATTATTTGTATTCTCGTTGATTTTTGATCTTGTTACATATTTGATATATATAAATTTAATCATTCAAATGTATATAAATAAGTATAAATTTATTTGTATTGAACATTTCTTGTTTGAGATACATCATTGGATATTTAAAAAAAAAATCAAATTTTCCCTCACGAATTTGATATTTTTTTAAAAAGGATCATTTGTTAAACTACAAAGAGAACTCTTAATAGAGAGAATTAGAAGAGGAGTCTACTAGTGTGATCAACCCATCGCCAGCGTTAGTTATCTATTTAGTGGCTCTATGTCGCTAACGATCAAGACTATCCTAGGTTACAACCAGAAACAGATCGCTCTCCATGGTGTTTGATGCAGGTGTTGTCACTCTTTTTTCAGTTCCTCACATACTCATTATTATAGTATTTGAGATATCAATCCAAACAAGATGATTGAAAACAATAAGATTGCAATAGATATGTTTAGTTCAAGCCAAGCAGATAATTAGTAAAGACAAGAATCATAAACAAGTGACTAAACTTCAAACAAGTAATAATAAAACTAAGCAATACTAAGCATAGAGAGAAATTCTAATTTGGTACAAACATGAAATAAAGAAGGACTCAAGATGGAAGTTATTGATATAGATGAGGTCTAAGAATGATCAATGATGCTTCACAAAGAATATAACAATGCTATTTCCCATGCATAGAATTCAAACAAGCAAGACTAACCCAATTTCTTAGTGAAAATTCCTTTACTAACTATTTAATCAAGAACTAACTCTCATTAGTGACCAAATGATTAGCAAGCAAGCATTACCAATTCAATAAAACCAAAATGCTCCCCAGACATCTAATCTCTTAGGTTAGAATGAACAAAACCTTTAAATGACATGATCAGCGTATCAACAAACACTTCATATGCATAAGAGAAAGCTAGAATCTAAGCAAGCTTGATCAAAGCTAACCTAGTATTAAAAACATCAAATAGAGAAGAAACATATTAATTAAGCACAAAACATCATTAATCTATCCTAGACCTCCTAATCTATCCCATCTCAAATCCTAAAAAGGACTACTCACTAATTATTTCCAAAACCACAAAATCCAAAGAAAAAGTATGATTAAGCATGATTAGGAAGAAGATTGAACAAGAAAATATTAAGAAAAGTGCAGAAATTCACTAAATAAAGCAAGATTCTTATAAAGTTATAGAAAAGAAAAAGTTATTAAGCTTAGAAACAATAAAACATACATTACCTAATAATTTTAGGTTTTCACATATTTATAGGTGGGAAGAAAATCCTTAATAAACTAGGAGTAAACCGGGTTAGGTTTAGTTCAGATACACTATATCGGACTGGCTTAACCGATATCCAGGTCGATATGCTCATGCTGAAGTTTGAATCGATGTAGACACCATGGTACCAGACCCAGCCCAATTTTATACTGTACCCTGGCCCAGAAAATGGGCTCTTAAATATAAAGAAAATTGTCCAAAATTCAAATGGACCCTGTGCATTTGCACCTTGGGCACATGCCCAGAACCGGGCCTGCACGGTACACAGGTCGATACATCCATCTTCTGTTTTGTATCAGTTTGATCCACCCTGATATGCAGTTCCGTATGCACACCTTCATGTTCTGTATCGAGGAAAGCTTCCTCGATAGGCATTTTGGTATGGCTGTCCTGTCTTGTGTATATCGGTTTGGCCTCCTCGATATGCACCTCGGTATGCTCCTTTAAGCGCCTGTATCGACTTGGTCCTCCCCGATATGTACGTGGGTATAAGTGTTGGACCTTGTATCGGGCAAGCCTACCTGGTACGTAGGTCGATATGGGTCCATATCAGGCAGAGTTGCCCGGTACATAGGTCGATATGGGTCCATATCAGGCAGGCTTGCCTGGTATGTAGGTGAATATGGGTCTATATCGGGCAGGTTTGTTCGGTACGCTCCTCGATATGGCCTCCAACACCTTCGTTTCTCCTAGTCTTGCCTTGGCTTCACTCATTGATCACTCCCAAAGCTCCTCATAGCTTCTAAACACCTAATTTGCACCTGTCATAAACTCCAAATGCACCAAACATATAATGCAACTACAAACTCGAAGTTCTAAATAGATGCACATGAGTCAAAAACAAGTGAAAAATTCAGGCTTAGAGACTACAAACTACTGATAAATGCATGCTAACATGTTATAAATATAGTGTATATCAGTGTTGCTAAAAACCTTTCCCACACATTGGGTTCGTCCACGGTACAAGGTTTCACCATCTTGGGTGGTTCGTCTTGTCAGTGCCGCTCAGAACCCTTTCGGCTACGGTGTTCTTTGGATCGTAACCACTGTTATATTGCCGAATTTTCCTTTCTGGATAGTGAGATGGCTTCTAAATTTATATTCACAAACATACATACATATGTGTAGCAAGTTCTTTGCTTAATATGTCACTTCCTTCTGAATTTTGTTTAGTCATATTTTGGATTGTTTGATGATTATTTGTTTCCTTTTTTGAACAATGTGAAAGTATAAGAGACTAGATATTGTTCATTTGTTGCGAATTGAATGATATAATGGATAGAATTTGTTGATTTGACCATAATACAAGAAGAAATTTTGCAGTTTTAGATTTGTCTACCATTATGTATAGTATGTGATATAGGACAAATGTTACAGATTTTAGTTCATTCTGATGTGATATAAACGAAGTTATGAGTAAGCTATGATACATGATTTAATGTGTATGCATTAGTTAGAATGTCTTACAAGCTCTCAGATGTTATATTTTAGTTTCCTAAGCTGCTAAAGGAGGTTCAATTGCATATTTATACTGCAGTATAACGTCACAGTTTATATGGATTATGTGTGTTGTGTAAATTCGTTCCGTCATTTTTGTGTCAGTAATCTTACGCCCTAATTTTCATCATTAGCATTATATCTGCATAGGGAAAAAAGAGTGGTGAGTAATAAATTATTCTATGAGAATGATTATACCTGCCCATATAATCAATACCAACAACAATATAATTCACTAACCAAATATGTAAGCCTACAACAATTAAACATCATATAAATTATCTTCAGTCACATTACATATCATTACATCACATATCGTAACTTCACACATAATTAACACATGACACACAACACTGACATCTGACACTGGACTAGTTGTCACTTTGAAACATCGTACACCACCTTTGATTCATCAGCCAGTTTACGGGCTTCGACAGTATCATCAAGTCCTTGTTTTAATCCAACTAATGCAATGCATCCTATGGATTCAGGCTTTTAACAATAAACTTGTCCATTGAGCTATCCATGTTTGTTATGAAAGAATTTATCTAGGTTGAATTATTATTAAAGATAATTATAGTTCTTTGTAGATGAGGATGAAGATATACAATTATCTCCTTCCTCTAGTGCAAGTAGGTTGTTCTATAGTTTTGTAACGAATAACTATGTTGAATAAATCTTTGAGCTTTTATAGCTAAACGAGCTTTCATAGTACATGAAAGAGTATTTCTAACCTTGGTCAGCTTTTATAGCACGGGATAAAGTATTCCCAACTCTATCAATTTAAATGTAGTTTTTCTATGTTTCTTTCAAACCCGATTATACACAAATCTCCTGAATATTTTCTTTGTCTTTGTTATCTCGAAACATCGTACACCATCTTTGGCTCATCAGCCAGTTTACGGGCTTCAACAATTTCATCATGTCCTATTCTCAATCCACCTAATGCAATGCATCTGATTACACCTTGAAATGTCGTACGCCACATTTGGCTGGTAAGCTGGTTAACGGGCTTTGAGAATATCATCATGTCCTCGTCTTAATCCAACTAAAGCAATGCATCATATAGATTCAAGCTTTCAACAACAAACTCGTCCATTGAGCTATACATGCTTGTTATGAAAGTGTTTGTTTAAATTTAATTATTATTAAAGATAATTATAGTTCTTTGTAGATTAGGATGAAGTGATGCAATTATCTCCTTCGTCTAGTGTAAATAGGATGTTCTATAGCTTTGTAAAGAATAACTATGTTGAATAAACCTTTGAGCTTTCATAGCTAAACGACCTTTCATAGCACATGGAAGAGTATTTCCAACCTCCATCGGGCTTTTAAAGCACGAGGAAGAGTATTCCCAAATCTATCGATTTTAAAAGTATATTTTCTATGTTTATTTCAAACCCGATTACACATAAATCCCTTGGATATTTTGTGTGTCTTCATTATCTTGCCTGCGCCTCTCCATCATTAGACTCAACATATGTGATTACAAAAAAAAACCATTGCAAAATATGAATCCAGAGGTCACGAACCCTCAGCTTAGCCACTTGACAATGAAGAAGAACACTCTTCTTAGCTGCCTTGAAGCAACAAAAATAACCCGAAAATGAATCATTGGATACTCGATCCCACTGTTGATTCTCAAGCCTACAGAGCCACCACAATCATAGCTTCCAATTTTTAATATGATCAGACTTCACAAGAGCATTCTACAGGTTCATGACATTGCTTCGTCAGAACAGACTTTCTGAAACTAACAAAAATCAATGATTTATGGCCCAAAGGGAACGCAAACTACTATTGGTGTTTAGCTTCAATGGGAGCAATGTCAGGTCCTATAGATTTCTTGCAGCAAGCCCTTTCCAGAAATACACTGATCTTGTTCTAACTTCTCCTAGTTGGCTGGGAAACTGTCATCCAAAAACATTATGTGAAATTTTAAATAAACAAGACTCCTACTGAATTCTATCTTCCCAAAAACAGTGATTTATGCTCAACTTCCTGATCTGATTTGAGTGAAATTTACCTTAAAATGACGAAATGATAACTTCCGTGCATTCTTGGAAACAAGATGATGAGGACCTCAAACCCCTGATAGTTGCATTATTGGCATGACTTTAGCATTCATTTAAGTTAGTGTTTATTTTGTTTTATAAGTGCATTTGTATATTTTAGGCTTGTTTGCATTCATTTTAGACTTTAGATCATATTAGCATAGGTTGTGCATATTGTGTTGCATTTGGACTGTTCCTAAGGTTGCTTTGGAGGCTTGAGGGAGTGTATGGAAGATCAAGGGAACAAGCAAAGCTAAGAAGAGAAGCAAATGAGAGCATAACATATAATGTCTGGCACCAGCACAAGCACCAGCGCGAACAGCCAGG